AAATTCAAATGCGCCGGGCATCCAAATTAACAGATAAATAATGATGTGTGGTGCTCGTGATCGAGAAATGTCAATATAAGAGCAACACACAGATAAAGTTATTTCACCATAAATCATTATGGGTTCGGAAGGATTTTCAAAAACGTCGACGCGAAAGACAGAGTGTGATCTGATATGGACATCACATCAGTGTAATAGATTGTCATATGAAGAACATTGAGGAAGACACAGAACTGGAGATGAAAATTTCCACTCGGGAGATAATGCGCGGGAACGAGTTTGGAGAATAGAGAGAGGGTAGTGAACGTGAAAGCTTTAGAATTTCTGAGGAAGAGCTGCGGTCGAACCAAGGAAGTCCAACGGAATACAGTAGGACGACAAATGGATCATAAATGAACTGTTTCAAGAATCAATACAGATGGACTGACTTACTGAACAAGGAGTAAAGGGCTTTGGAGATCACCGTTGACGAATTGACTAGTTTATATTATTTATATTATTTAGGCATTGATCGCTTTGATGTGGGTCTGACTACACGCTAGACACCCAACCTTAAAACACATTGTAGGTGAGAGAGGGGGTGTGATCCTTAACCTGGTCCGGAATGCGGACGCATGTAGTCTATACGGTGGAAACAGCCGTGCCCAACAACCATTGCCGGAGCCAAATTGTCCATTGTGGGTGAGGACCCCAAGCCTTCGGCAGGCCCAAACCAACCGAATCTGGAACAAAGAGGCGATAAGCAGCAGTCTGGGGAAATACCGAGCTGATAAGGATTAAGGGGAGAAACAGCATGTTGTGAACGAATATGCAGAGGGGTTTAATGACCGAAAGTGTACGAATATATATATATCGATAAATAAGTATATATATTTATATAAATATATATATGGTAAGGAAAAATGAACAGCGGTTTATCACTAGGATGCACACGACGAGACGGAAATCTGGAAGGTACTGCGGGTTCATACACAAACGGCGCACTGATGATTTCCATTTGAGAGTATTTAGTCACAAAACGTGCACAAATATGTACTGGGATTACTTCCGTTGCACAATTCCTGCTATAAAGCTGAATCCGTGTACTGATAAGAATTGGGTTTAGAGAGTGAATACAGCCGCCTGGTCATCATGTATCACGGAGTTGAGCCATGTGATAAGGTAAAAACCATATTGGAAACATTTCGATTATGAAGGAAGAGGTCACAATACTGCCAGGAGTATGTACGAGAATCAATGTTGTTCCACAGATTCAGCTTTGAAGCTGAATCCGTGTACTGATAAGAATTGGATTTAGAAAGTGAACACAGCTGCCTGGTTAGCATGTGCCACGGAGTTGGTTTAGCCGCAACCACTCCGTGTCACTTGATACCATCACCGCGCCCAATGTGCACACGCATCTGTAGGCGCTTAATAGTGAAATGTTTCAACAATTCTGGTGGCATGAACGTTCAGCCAGCCAAAATGGAAGTTGACGATGAGCCGATATTTATGTATCGGAGCGTAATCCCTTATAGCCAGCGTGAAGGTGTATTAAAAGCCATTGAGAAAATGGAGCGTGACGGTGTCATCACTCGTGTCGCGTCAAATGTATGGGCAACACCAATTGTGGAAGTCATCAAAAGTGACGGTAAGATACCACCAATTGACTATGTTTATCGGTTGACCCTGAACTCAAGGTTGATAAAGTTTGCGGCTACCACTATGGAACCAGAAGATTTCAGTTAAGCATTGCTTGACAGCACGTGTTTCTCAATGATTGACTTGACGGATGCATACCTCCTAATTCCCCTCGTTCTAGTCTGCAGACAATTCATTACTACCAACATGCTGTAGGCATTGTATCAATACAAGTTCAAACCGTTTGGCTTCCACAATTCATCAGGCATATTCCAAACAGCCATTAGCGAGGTTATTCGTGGAAACGTATGTCGGCATATGAGGACGATGTTATTGTGTTTGGTACAACAAAGGCCGCAAGTGACAACAGACTTCTCAAATTACTGGAGCGTTTTTCTGAAACAACTGTGTTGATTTGAGCCTCCAAATGTATGTTCAGTTCTCCGGCATTGGAGTTCTTGGGTTTTGCAGTTGAAGTAAAGAGCGGCCGTCCTGGTTCTGGTCGTTTTCGTCCCTTCACTGAACTCAACTCACCAAAAGACCGACATCAACATAGGTCCATCATAGAATGTCTCCAGTACTATTCACGTTTCATCCAGAAATTTGCCACGAATGCTCAACCGCTGTTCGCTGCTCAGTCGACCACAAAATGAAAATGGACGGTCAAGTGTGAACAAATTCTGTGCGAAATTATTCAGATGATAACAAAAGCAACCAGTACTTGCCTCGTTTTCTCCGACGAAATACTCAACATTGATCACAGGCTCATCAGATTTTGGCCTTGGTGCCGTACTTGAACAGGACAGATGCCCGATTATCTGCATCTCTCACTTATTCAAAACGTCAGAACGAGAATATTCGTAGACGCAGAAGGAAGCGTTGACCGTGTATTGGGCCGTCCGACATCTGCACAGATACTTGTTTGGACTGCGTTTCACCATCGCGACCGATCAGCAAGAACTGCAGTATCTGTTCAGTCCACACAAGTCAATTTCCAAACCGACAGCGACGATGATTCAGTGATGGAGCATTATGCTGGCTGCCTATGACCACGACATAATACACCATGCAGGCAAAGCGACTCCACAAGCCGACTTTCTCTCCCGGTGGTCCAAATTTTCGGCGGCCAAGAGGTGCTATTTCGTTGCTACAGCTGCCCCGGTATCACGGGAGGAGGTGCGCAGATTTATCAAGCGATACCACACAGAGATCATAAAAGCCCAATCTAGATGTTGGCATACATACCTGAAGGGGGGATCCCAGCATTTTACGCGCATGGCGAAGAAATCAGTGCAAAACCTGACGGAATACTATGCCACAGCGATCGACTAATCATCCCACCTCCATTGCCCAAGGTATTGCTGCAGCAGGCCCACTTAGGGATGGAAAAGATGAGGTCGTTGGCACGACAGGTTTGCTTGTGACCCGGCCTAGATGAAGACATTGGTCAAACTGTTACGAACGGCGAAGCGTGCCTACACAAGCGGAAGTCAAAACCNCAGAAAGCTGTGTGCATGCCGACTTCTGTGGGCCGATCCTCGGTCGTTATCACGCACTAGTACTCATCATTTCGTAATCAAAATGGCCGAAAATGTGTCTAACCAGTACACCGAATACATCGTTTGTGATGCGGGTTCTACGAAAATGTTTCAGAGGAGAGCGAGTTCCGCAAGTGTTGGTGACCGATATTGATTTGCAGTTCTGCGCTGATGATTGGTAAACGTGGCTGGGCAGTGTTTAACACATACCAATGCAGCAAGTGTTTTCAGATTTTACCTTATCTCGTCCAATATACAGTACACCTCGTTATTCTCAAACCTAGAGAAGTGGAACCGACTCCATTCGGTGGATCCTTGCAACAAACGATGTCACATATTCAACATCAGATCCTCCTCATCAATGAACTTCAACCGACCATTAATTACCTGTGTCCTGTATGGCCTATTCACAAACCAGAACACCTGAACTGCGCTACTTCAACGTGAGTTTTTGCTTGTTATCGCGAATTAGCTATTTTCATCTAAATAACGACAAATAGCTTATTTTTGAATATAGGACAGTAAGATGCCAGCCACAATTAGTTTGCCATTTAAAACTCGCCGCGCCCGGCTGCCAAAAGCTAGACCATCTTTTCCTGTCCCTTGCTCTGTATCCATTTCTGACATATTTGTAGAATTAAGTAAGAATTGCAGAAAGATTGGAAGTGACCTGGAGTGGCTATCCTCTAAAATGACTTTTCTCGACAAACTATTAGCTTTACGTACCCCTCTCTACCGGTTCATTGACCCCTCAATCCCTAATACTGAAGAAAGTTTGCTACACCTAGGAAACTTCATCGATTAAATTTCCACAGAGGTCTCACGTCGCATCCAAAATGCACGAAATGCCATAGTATTCAACGTATCGGATAGACTCCTGGCGCCGGGACCAGGGTGATCACGGACGCCCTGGCCCCAGGTGGAGGCTCGCCCTTGCGCTCTGACGGGTTGAAGCCTGCGACGATCCCTAATCGGGCTCGCTCGGGCGCCTAGATTTTGCCAGTGTGGAGGTCTTTGGACCATCCCTTTCATGGGGCGGTGGTGGCCCGGTGGTAACGTCACCAAATTACCACCTCGGGGGACGTGTGTCTGAACCCCACCCCCACCGCCTGACTTTCCCATGGTGGCCCTTTGATTGGCCGCTTCCCCCTTCCTGAAAATTGTATCATTGTGTAATCAATAAAAGGAAGTAAAAATGAAAAAAATGGATTCGGTAAAATCTACCATCTTGCCGGCTTGTAACATGCTTTCGGTGCAATTCCGATGCATTCGACTGTGTAAGCGGTCCCATAGAACGACCTGCCCGTTGCTATTCATCTTCCAAGATCCCTCATATACACAAGGATTCATCCGAAGTCAGTCCACGATTGCAGTCAACACTCAATTCAAAAACTTTCGGGTGGCCCCCGATAAAACGCCTCTACAAAGAGAGGTGTTGCGAAGTGCACTCAAAAAAAACCACACCCAGAAACCCGGCAATTCCAACTTCACCCGTTCGCGAATCACGTAACACTACTCCGGAAGTCACCACGATCAGTAGCCAAATCATACCTCCATTAACAAGTGT